AAAACTTACCAAAAGTATAGAAATATTTATTCACAAAAATATTCATTGTAATATAATTTAGTGGCAAACAAGGAAACATCCAAAAGTTTGTCCACAACATGGAATATAATGCATCTTTTTAAAATAAGATTTCCGAAGAACTTGTAGTGACAGGGTAAAGATCCTTATAAAATAAGCTAAAAAGCAAGTATTAAAGTATAAATTTATTTTGATTCCATCATGCATTTAAATATTTCTATATATGTGTGTGTATGCAGACATATACACAAAGACACATACACATATAGCAGTACATATATTTAGATACACATATACACAGTACATATACCTACATATGCATATACACATGAGAATGACAGCAGTTTACAATGTTAACAGTGTCAATCCCTTAGTTGTAAAATTTTCCATAATTATCAATACTTGTATACATATTTAAAGTTTTGATAAGCAAATTGCCTTTCTTTCTTAATACAGAAAAATAATTTTAGAAATAATTTACATTAGAAAAGTATTATTTGCCCTAAGAGAAAACTAAGGATGACTAAAAGATAACTAAATCCACTCTAATCGAAATCTTGCTCTTAATCTGGGAGAGTTTTAGACATGGTAAAAGTACAATTTTGAAGGACAGCAGCAATCAAGTTTAAGTTTAACAAAAGAGCACAGTTTCTACCATCTTTCGGACAAACATTAAAGAAACAAAGTCTTTGTTCTTAGAAAAATCTAACCATCTAATAATCTACAAATGATAAAACTATATTGTCGTTGGTGGTTAAAAACAGTCCATTTACAAAAATGAGTTTAGGTTTATTCCCTAGAAATGTTTAATTCCAGACTGATGTTCCCAGGCCAATTTTTATGCAAATTAATAAAAACATTAGCTTGAGCCAAACTTAATTACCAGGGCTCCAAGAAACAATCGTGTGATCTATTTCTATAGAAACGTGAATGAATTTTTGGATTATCTGTTCTAATGGTCCTCTCCCATTAATATGGATGATTGTGTTCACTACATTAAAAATATACATATAAACCGTGGGATCTTTTATGTTCTTTTGTTTTCTCTGCCAGGAGGGATTAGGGCAAAAGTGGGAGGAATTCAACTAGACTGAATGCAGAGAAGCAAATATAAAGCTAGTCCCCATGGGGTCAAGAAAGCAAGACAGAATGCGGAATGTCTGAGTGCACAGAAGAGAAAGGCAGGTGGGCTGGAGTCATCGCTAAGGAACAGCAGGCCTGGGTACGGCGCAAGGAACCCGCACATATGTCCTCTGTGTAATATGTCAAGTCCTGGCTTGGTCTAGGAATAAGCATATGGTTATTCTTGGATTTCAAAGCTGTACACCTCATTTCTTCCCCCTATTTTTTACTAACTTGCCCTCAGAAAAATTAGAAAGAAGAAAATATATGTATTTCACTTCAAGCAATGATTGCTAAAATATGTAAACACATGAGCAAAATGGCAGGGAAGTGAAATTTCCACAAAAGCTTTGCAATGGTCTCTCATCCACAAAGTGAAGTACCGGACCTTTCTAGTCAGAGTGAAAAAACCATAGTATTCATCAACAGCCACAGGCTACCTCCTCTGGCAGTCCCACCATATCAGCAATGCCCCTGGCCCTGTTAAATGGTGATCTTCCGATTCCTGATAGAATTCCTCTAAAACTGTACCAAGTAGAGCACTGGGACTGGATACATACAAGAATACAGAGTAGCTGCTTCTACTGTTCAAATGCTCTGCTCTTTCCTTCATTGTACAGATCACGAATAATGAGTTCAGGTCCAGCAATGACCTTGAGAATTTCCCATATCCACAGTAATAGATAATGAGGCTCACTCAATAAACAGTGAAGATTTCCTCTCCGTATCATCTTCCCAATAAATAAATGTTAATGTGACTAGAAACTTTACCAGGAGACATATCTTCATATACCACCAAAGATAGAAAGAATCTCAGATATTATCTAGTTTTTGGGGGGAAGGAGCCTTATGAAATATTTATTGATCACTCATCAGTAGGTGCTGGGAAGGGAAATATGAATAAAATACAATTTTTATCTTCACAATGTTCATAACTTGGTAAGAGAGACAAATGCAAACACAGCTATATTACAGTGTAATAAGGAAAATAATAAAGAGAAGAATGAACAAAGAAATTCAAATTAGCAAAGATGTAATCACTTTATATGACACTCAAAGGTGAGAAGGGTGGAAATGGATGTGGGGGAAAGATTTTTCATGGCTCTCTCCTCCATATTAAAGAATTTTGTGATGAATATCATGACATCATGAAGAATGAAAAGCACAAATGGAATTCTCATACATTTCAGGTGGGAGTGTAAAATGGAGCAAACTCTTTGAACACTGTTTTTTAGTATCTAGTAAAGCTAAACATGTATGTTGCCTATTCTTGAGAAATTTTATTTCTGAGTTTATACTCAAGTGATATAAGTACATATGCCCACAAAAATATGTACAAGAATTTTAGTAGCATTATTTACAATAGCCCCAAATTGAAAATAATTCAGCATCTGTATAACATAATATTAGACAGTGAAATAGTATACATCACCAAAAAATAATGAATCGAGAACTTGCAGTAGCCTCCACAGAAAACATGTGTAAAAACTAAAATACATAATATATGTTTTATTTATATGAAATTCAAAAACAGAATGATCATCTGTGGGGGAGGTTATCTGCAGGCACCAACAGAGGGAGCGGAGCCACTGGTGCTGGAAACGTTCCTGCTCTGAGTAGTGATTGCACAGGTGGTACAGGTTTGTATACTTAAAAACCTGTAGCCTTAAGACTTGAGTGTTTTACTATACACAAGCTATATTTCAACTTCAAAAATTAAAAAGTAAAGTAAAAACATTTCCAGAAAAAAGGAATTTATAGTCAAATAAACCTACTTGAGAATTTTGAAAGCAGAATGGGGATCGTAATACTAATTTTACAGAGATGATAGAATGATTAGAGAATATGTGTATAAAATAGTTAGGCAAAGTATGGCATTCATATAGAATTGACTTACAAATATATTTTCTAGGCTAGTGACTCCCAAGAATCAATGTACAAACAGAGCACCTAGAAATTTCATTAAAAAGTACACTATGATTCTGTAGGTCTGAGATGAGTCCTGATATCCTGTATTTTTGAAAAGCTCCCGGGTAATTCTAATGTTGCTTGCCCATGAACCATACTTTGTGTAGCAGTAGGGAGAAATTGGGATGAATGAGTTTTGTCAGCAGGGGAAAGTTCTTAAGTCCATATTTTAAAAGATATTACTGTTAGCAATTCATAAAATAGATTACAAGAGAAAAAATCATAGATCCAAGAGAGGGATAATATAACCCTGAATGAGTAAAGGGGAAGGGGACTAGACAGGGAAAAAAAGAAGCATTTTTTTTCAGAAACATCAAATCTCAGCATTTCACTGAATTTTAGGCATGATGAGAGAAACACATCAAAGGCAGCTTGAGGTTTTTAGCTTCAATGAAGAAATACATAAATATATTGTAGTTGTAATTTTTTATCAGCTCCTTTGGATCAAAATTGAGCTCAAGAGGAATTGATGAAAAAAAAAAACAACACACAACATTTTTTTTTTAGAGTTGGTTACTCTAGCAGAGAATGAACCAAAAGAAGTACTCTAATGATTGTTTTTTAATTTTTTTAAATTTGGTTATCATTGTTCAATTATAGTTGTCCCAAAAGGAAGTACTCTAACAGGCAGATTATGAACAATTGTGTTAAAGAGGAAGCTAGAAACATGAGAGGCTGTATGTCAAGTTTGCTATAGTCACAAACAACCCTAAAAGTCCAAATAGCTACAACAAGAAAGGTTTGTCATGTCTCTGGTTGGTTCTGCTCCACGTGTTTTCATTCCAGGATCTACGCTGAAGGAGCACACTCTTTTAGGAGCAAGAGGGTTGGAGGAAGCATGCAATGGATCTTGAAGCTTCTGCTTAAATATAGTACACATCATGTCTGTTGCTGTGTCATTTTCTAAACCAATTCATGTGAATAGGCCTCACATTAATGAGGTAGGAACATACATTTGTTCCACAGGGAATGCTACAGGTCACAAGGTTACATACAGAGAAATAGCCTCCTCTTACAGAAAGGAATAGGAACAATAATGCATCTACCACAGGGATGTACCCAGGCAAAGAGCCCACGCTCCTCTGCATCCCCTGTCTGCCTATAACCAATCTTAGCTCTGGATTTTTTATTTTTAATTCAACAGTGAAATATCCTCAGCATAAATTCTTTTTATCAATATGAGACAAAATGGACAGATTTCAATTTATTCTCTTAATGAACACTTAAATGTTCTAAACCCTACAGGGAAAGGGAAGAGAAGCCAGGGGATGCAAAGCAGGGGGAGGAACATTACTAGATAATGAGCCTCATAGTAACTAAGCGTTGGCTGAATTCTCCCCTGACCTTTGCTGTATTTAGTAGGTGCCATTAGAGAATGATTGAGCTGTACGTGACCCAGTCTGTGTGTGTTCACTTTGCTTAAATTTTTCATGCTCCATCAATGGAAATATGAAAATGCAAGTAGTATTTTAATTTTTCAGGAATCTTCAATACAGGAAATACCTATGTCTTCAAGGAAAATTAAATGTAATTAACTCATGCGGCCCAGAAATTATTTAACATGTCAAAATTTCCAGGTTGTGTTCACTGCTGTTAGTACATTCATAGGCTAAATATTAATTATACCAATCAGCTCAAAGAAGAGGTTTTGCCTAAAGTATCTGGATATTTCTTATAAAATAATTGAAATAAATTTGATGTTCTGCAAAAATGATACCTTCATATTTTTTTTGAAAAACTGTTTCTAAAAAGTTTTTTAGAAAAACTGTTTTCTAACTCTCCATGCATAATCAAAGCATGGTTTCTGACATTTTTTTCTTTTTCAAACCAGGGATAAAGCTATGGTCATGCATATCTCATTTAAAAAAAAATTCAATCACTCTTCTTAACAGGACAAGAGAATGATGCAATGAAGAATGAAATAAAAATTGAGGAAGAGTCACAGAGCTCATTCATGGAAACAGAAGGTATTGAAAATGGCATATGTTGTCACCAGAGAATGAGATAAAATTATGAACCATGACTCCTAGATATACCTGAGTGTGTGAGAGTGCTGTGGGTGCATTTAAGGCAATGATTTCTAGAAAATGGCTGTAGTTTCCTGCTTTGGATGTCTACGAAAACTTGGAGGGTGTTAGGGGAAGAACTTTAACTTTGTATGCTTTAGTAACTGTATTTTGTCAATGATTTCAACTAAAACACTTCTGAGTATCCTTCTGTCACATTCTATTTAGAGTTTTCATCAAACCAAGAAGATACCACAATTGTGGAGCAAGAAGAAGTGATTCCACTTACAAGTGACCAAGAGGAAAAAAAGGAGAAAGGTAGGACTGCTCTTAAATAACCCATCACAATAGAGAGTTTCTTTGGATTCTCACCTAGAATTCACCATCACAGTTATCCTCATGCAGTTGCAGTCTGTAAGAGGGCTGGGGGGAATAAACATTTCTTTAATCTTAAAACTACATTTGTGAGTAGAATATAATCAAATAGCAAACAAAGATACTTGTAACAGTTTTCTGTCCTTCCAAATACTATGAATATGTTTTTATTCATTTAGATTAAATTTAATTTTTAAAAATGTAGTATTGAGAAAGCCTATAAAAAACTGAAATTATAGTCTAGATGGATGAGTCTTAGAAAGATGACTATAAAACAAATAGATTGTTCTTTTTGTGTTGATTTCATTCTGCCATCCTTCATATGATACTAATTAAAGGAGCAACTTAAATATAAAATATAAATTTTATATGAACCTTCATATATTATATGAACCTTCTAAACTATAAGCTTTTACCAGTAATATTAGGATATCATCATACTGAATATTGTTAAAAATAACTAAGCATTGTAATGATTTTTGAAGAAATGGGAGGAATGAACACTTTGAAGAAATGAAAATTTAAGACAGTATTTGGGACAAGGAGTCAATACATTGGAGAGAAGGTAGAAATCTTTTTAAAAATCTATTTTAAAAAAAATTACCAAAGAAATTCAGTATTATTGGAGAACTTGAATAAATTTATTTTTATATATAAAGCAATGTCTTAAAAAAACTAAAATATGAAATATGAAGTAAAATAATTCCTCTGGTACACTATGTCATAAATCATGCTGCTCTTAAATAATAAGTGTTTGCAAAGCAGTTACAAAGTAATAACTTGACAGGCCTTCTTTATAGAGCACAGTGATCAATTTTGTTTCTGAATTACCAGTAAAATGTAGATATGATCTCAATTGTACAATCAGATCAGTAGTAACTACAGCTTCAAAATTACAAACTCTTTCTGACAGAGACATTGAAACAGTTTAATTTGTAAGCCATGTTAGTGATTTTCACATCTTTTTTAAAAATTTCTGCTGCCTTTAGAGCCATGTTCTTCCATGTCCATGCCTCTAATAACCTTTCTGCATTGCAAATTCTAGTTGAAGTTCCCAACACCATGCTCCCAGCAAGTCAAGTAAACAGCATGCCTGGAGCATTTTATGTATAATGATGGTAATAGACATTTGATATAACCCTCACTTTAGATACAGTTACATGGCATTGCTCCTTTCACTTGTACTTGTAAAATATAAAATACCCAATGGTGCCTGCCTGCATAATTTCTGTGTGGCAGAAATTATTTACTTTGTATATTATACTTCAAGACATGCAAATGAAGAACATCAAATGGGTATATATTTTCCTCTTATTAACTTGACCTACAGAGAAAAATAATGTGTTCAGCACACATGGATGTGTCACCTTTCTTTCAGTGGCTTCTCTAGCATTGAGTACTCCTTTAATTACTGACGCGTTAACTGACCACTTTTTACCTCTCCCTTGTGAGAATACCAGTCCTCCTCTGCAAATGGTGAAGTAGCATGCAAGAAATAAATGAAGTCAACTCCTGCTACTTGCTTGTCAAAACTTTGAAGGTGAATTTTTTTAAGATTTGACTTTTATCTTTAGGAAGTAATAATGACTATGGGCTTGAATTAAACACCGTCTTTCTCCGTCCCTCTCCGTCTTTACCACAGATACTTAACTTGGCCTTGCCTTGAATATTTCCAGGTTTGAAATAAAATGTATCACCTTTATCATTTTATTTGCTTCAAAGCAAGAATTAAAAGCTATCCAGTTACACAAAAGAAAAGTCACCAAAGGAAAATGGGGCAACACAGATTCAGGGCGCTCTGCTCTAGCTCTTCCCCTAACTAGCGAGCTGGGTGACCTTGGGCAAGTTATTTAACCTTTCAATGCCTCAGTTTCCTTATCTGCAGGATTGTGATGACAAAAGTCACATACAGTTGCGGTGAAATTTGAAAAGCAATTATAACAATACCTGGAACATAGAAAGTGCTCCATAATCATTTAGTATTTATCATAATTTGATAAATTGATGACAAAGTCAAGAGAATCTGTATGTAGAGTTCCTCAAATCCATTTATTGTCCTTCCTACTTGAATCCATATAAACTTCACATATTATCTTTCAACAAAAATTGTTCTGCACATTTCATTTTTAGCATCATTACCTGCAGGTTGTTTCAAATACACATATTTCCTTCTACAAAGGTAGAATAATTAATGAAAGATAACATGGGAGGCATCTCTCTTATTCACAAAGCCCTTTTTCTTTGTCATGATCTCAATCTTCTGTTTAAGAAATGCTGAGTGAACAATAATTTTTATTTTTCAATGAGATACAATTGACATATGACGTTATATTAGTTTCAGGTGTGTAACATAATTCATAAAGAAGAAGCCATTATTGATTTATTGGTAGATCCACAGAATAAACATAGCCAATAAGTTCAAATAGTATAATTTTCTTTTGTTTTATATAGGTATTGAAGAGTCTTGTTTAAAAACATTTTGAGAAAATAGCTCCAGGTTTTGTATATATTCACAGTATCTCTTATTGGAAAGTTGAACATATGTATTAAGACTTACTCTTATCTGTGAACAAAAACAAATGAGTAATCTTATTACATTTGTAGGAATGTTGTTTATAGCTTTAGAAATAATGATTCTTTTTTATTTTGAGACTCTTTCTTAGGAGATATAAAGGGGTTGATTTCAAAAAACTCCTGACCAGAAAAAAATGTTTCATCTTTTTCTTTCATTTTGTAGCATTCTCTAAGATTAGAAAATGTAGATAATCTTCAGGATACATCTTCTATGGCTCCCAGGTGTATGGCACAGATGTTGCAACATTAAGTTTTGAAGTTAGCTCTACCAAAATATGGGTTTTGAAAAGAAGAGAAAATATTCAGCAGAACTTCATGCTGATAAAATTATACAATAGCACAATGGACATGTCCCTAGGAGACTTGAAATACAAAAATTTCAATAGGCATAAAGTGAGATTTCACATATGGCAGCTTTTCTCATATTGCCACATTGCCTCCTCCTAAATGAGTCCAATTTTATGCTTTCCCAGCAGGACCTGCAGCACATATGAAATCCAGTTAAATAACATCACTTAGGTTAATAACCAAATAGGAAAGTAATATTACAGGAGGTCTCCTCTAAAAAGAATCTAATATTTTAGCATAAAGTACAAAGCCAGCATTAAAAAGCTTTTCTGCAGATTTTTATTTCTAGTTAAATTTAAAAATATTTGACACAAACTCTTAATATATCAACATTGTATTAGTATTCTATCACATAAATTTTATTTTTATTATGAATATAATAGATTTTTTTCTAAGTGTTATATAAAAAACATACATGCCCATTATTTTTCTTATATCAATTAACAAATATAATATGGAATACTAATTCTTCATTTACCTCAGGTTGACCAAAATTGATGGAGACTAAAAGTATATTATGGTTTAAGATCTTCTTGGGGGGAAAAAATGGATACAGACAGGTAGAAAGTAAAGTGCAAGCCAGCAACAAGTGTAAGTTATGATGTCATTAGGTGTACAGCACAGATATTGAGAGCTGACAAAGGGAGTTAAGCATCTGAAAATTTTTGTCCTGGGGTGGGGAGGTGGAGGAGTGATCCTGGAACCAATGCCTGGCAGACACCAAGGAATGCTGGTACACACATATGAAATTCATTTTCTCTATGCTTTTCTTCATTATTCCATATGAATTTTATAGGGTGTGTATTTGTGTGTGTGTGATAGGGTTAAGACTCAGAAATCTGATTTTTAGTTCTGCCTTTGACACTGCCTGGATAGAACCATGAGTAAGCTGCTTAAGCCTCTTGGGGCCTCAAGTTCCTCTTCAGTGAGGGATGTACTTATCCTCATGCATCTTGAAGTTGTGAAAAAGATGAAATGAAACGGTTTTTGAAGATGAGCTGGAGTAAGCAAGCTTAGCAGTGCTGAGCAAACTGTGACCCATGGACCAAACCTGACCCATTGCCTGTTCTCATATGGCTTGTGAGCTAATGGTTTTCACATTTTTTAATTATTGGGGAAAAAACAAATAATAATTTGTGAGACATGGAAGTTACAAATTTCAGTGTCCACAAATAGAACTTTGTTAAAATACACAAAGCCTACAATGTTTACTATCTGGCCCTTAACAGAAAAAAAAAAACTGCTAACTTCCAGGGTATAGCATCTATGCAATGTAGACCAAATTACCCTAAATGTGAAACCCCTCCTTTCTATGCAGAATTCCTGAATTATGCGGTCTTCATCAATACACGTAGACATATGTACATGTATGTTTCACTAGTACTGGGAAAATAGGATTATCCCACAATGCCTTGCCCTTCTGCATGCACAGCGTTTGCTCTGCCCACCCCTCCCCAAACTGATGGGCTGGGAAAAATAGCTTCCCTGATGTTAACCCCCATTAGAGGGGACCCAAACTGGAATGGCTTGGGCCCCAAGAATTTCAGCTTATGAATGGTGTGAAATAATCTGCCTCCTTTAGAATAAAAATAAGTTTCCTTTAAACACAATTCTTTTTGTCACTGTGCCTAAAAGCAGGTTCCATTTATTTACTAGAGTAAACCAATTGATCTTTGCTTTCTATGGGGATACTGCAAGTGAGATTTGCTTTAAAACGGTGAATTTAACATCTTAATCAAAACCATTTTTACAGAAAGACCATGAGGTGACGGAACTAATAGAGGCAGGTCTATCCAAAAAGTGAGCGAGGTTACTAGGGATTATAATAACACAGATGTGTATATGTGTTCACTTACACATTTTGTTGTAAAGACCAAATTTTCCTGAACAATTATTTTAACATATAACCTTAAGCTCAGAAAATGGTTAGAGTGTCGGCTTTCAAATGGAAGTGCTATTTTTCTCTTTGTTTTAGAAGGAAGCCCAATTTCTTTTCAATACCGTGCATATCAGGTGTCTTC